TCACTCAACATTATACATAGTTTTTTTTTTATACACTCTGAACAACACCATCTTCCCTATTTTCTCTTTATAATCAAATACTCATCACCCTATCCACGTGCACATCTTCAATTACTTAATCAGTAAATCTTTTCCTCTAATCACCTCATAGAGACTAGGATATAAGATTCCCCAGGGACAGTGTACACACTCTCCAGTATCTGACTGTGATTGCATCAAGCCGATCTCCTACAATATAACAAAGAGGGCACACTTTCCCACTTTTAATAAAGTGACTCAACAGAACTACCAATTCAGCGCACACAGCCTATATGCCAAAAACCAAACATAAATAGGCATGCTAACTATTCTAACATGAATCGTGCATGAGGTCTCATAACGTGTTCCACAAGTGAGCCAACGTGTCAAGTGGATGTCTGCGTGGCTGCATGTCCAAATTTCACCTGTCTCAAGAAGCGCTGGCCATTAGTCCTGCTTGTCTATGCGTCTTGGCAAGAGAAAGCTGATTATGTATCTCGTTTCTCACTGTGTCTAATCTGCTCAGATGCTCAAAATCATAATGAAATCTGTGATGAGGCTCTGATATGCATTAGCAGACCACTATCAGCACTAATGGAGCATCTGGTGCATTCCCTCAATGACAGTTCCTCTAGAGTTCTTCCAAATCACCTGCAGAAAAGTTACAACACAAACAGTACAATAAATAATCAGAATACTACTGCCTTTTCAGCTTTGTAACCGCAAAATCTCTGTAAATGTATTTCAACAGGAACCCTCTCAAAAAGGACATGAAACACAATTCTATGTTCTTTACAGTACTATTGTTTTTTCCTCTTGCTTTCTTTCTGTCTTTTTCTTTCACAGCAGCAATTATGGACAATGCTGATCACGGACCGGTCCATATAAGCAGGGTCGGCAAAGTAGTTTTTTAATGAGCAGCACATGTATCCAAACGTCTCGTTATGTGGAAAATAAGCAAATATACTCGAAGTTTGCGTTGAAAACAGAAGTGAAACGTGAGCATAAATGAAGAAGATCGCTTACCTCTCTCTATGTCAGTGGACAGCGACCTGGTGCTGAGATTAGGTGTATCGCTGACGGACAAACACTTGGTTTATGTAGTTTGTTAACGCTGCTTCCGATTCATTGCGACGATTGGTCAAGTCGAGGGATGACGTCACACGTTGTCCCTGTTTTTGAACGCTGATTGGTCACTTGCCTGATCAATCAACGCAAACCATAGACCAAAATCCACGTAATCTTACGTCTGGGAGGTGCTCAGGTGCTTGTGCTTTCTTGTATTTGTAGTCCAAACCGTCGGCCACTTCTCGTTGAAGAAGAAGAAGAAGAAGAAAACAACAACAAAGGAATTGTTGCAGTTTTGTGTAATTTGGCAATCGTTCATTCAAACTGATTGCATGTGGCTAGCATATCCGACTGTGAAGGCTGCGTAAGGGAGAGAATATGATGCATTATTTATCCGCCAGTCTTTTCACACAGAGATTGAGTTTCATTAGCTTCATTATCACCCCTCGCATGTTGCACATGGCAATTATAACACATAACGGTAATAAACTATAACGGATTTGTATAAAGATTATATCTGCTTGTGGTCGCGTATCAAAGGCGTGTCATCGTTATTTACTGTAGATAAGAAATGATTATTCGTTTATGCAATAGTGTAACTATATCACATGGAGAGTGCAACTCCTGTATTGTACCAGCAGAGAGCACTGCTAACCTCACTCATATCATTTTGTGAACCATTGCACTCCATAGAAGGGTGTGTTCAGAGTAAATACTGAAAAAGTAGCAGGTATTGTCGAATAAAAAAGCAAAAGAATGAGACCTTACACCTTAGCAAAGGCTTCCCACGGTCATGGAAAAACCAAAAAATATCACCTGGAAAATTTGTAAAAAATAAATTAATAAAAATAAATAAATAACGAAATCATAGAAATGTCATAGAAATTTCTGTAGTACATATATTCAAGTTATCCTCGAGCTCTATATATTTAATCGACAAGACAAGAGCATGTTGTTACCACGACAAAACGTGAATATGGAACTACACACAGAAAAAAACAAATGAATTAAAAATAAACTTTTATTTTTGTAGTTGGTTCTTGTAGTTGTTTTTGTAGTCCTCGTATATTAATGCACGAATATGTAGCCTATGTGTAGCCTATTTATTTATTAGGTTTTTGTAGGTTTCGCCTTCCATGTAATCAGCAGAAAAATCACATTTTTATATTTTTTTATATTACTATACAATTATAATCTAGCCTATTAGTAATCTAATATAACTAAGAGACAAAGCATAGGCTAATATAATAAACAAAGCAATCTCAGTTATAAAATAGAAAAAAAACAATATAA